GCTTCTTTGATATTTACTGTACGACCGGTCTTAGGATCCTTGACAGAGATGGAAGAAGAGTTGATAACACCAAGTTCAATGCCATCCGCAAACGAGATGGCGCGATCCACGTTGGGTGAGGTGATGTTGCCGGTGCTGAGATCAATTATGCCCTTTCGTTCCGCCTCATAGATATGATAACCATTTTGAGGCACTTCCATGGCTCCTTTACCTCCGGTGATTGCTCTGTACACCGAAACACCTCCAGGACCACCAAGAGCAGTCGTTTCTGTTGTACGGACACGTTTGACTGTGGTGACAGATTCCTCAATGTTCTTGTCGGGATAGAATTTAGGAGCCAACTGCTGTCCAGTTTCGGTGATAGATTCAGTAGTCTTTTCCTCTATTGTGGGGCCAACGCCGTTGCTCTTCGACGGAACGATCCATTCGCTGGATGGGTCAACGAGTCCTTGGTTTAGAGCATCATCGAGGCTCATGTCGATGTCACCTTGTCGGAATCGTTGATTACGTGAGTCGATGAGACCCTGCTTCATTGCTTCTGCAAGGGTCACCTTGACTTGATCCGTGGCGAGCTCAAATCCTGTCTGCCCTGGACGGCTAACGCGCTTCTTCTGCTCAACTTTCTTCACCGGCGCAATGAGAGATGGAGAAACGTCGAAAAGAGCAGCGACTTGGATAGCGCCGCGCAGAGTCACAAGGCCAGCATCGTATGCCTCACGAGGGGACATTTCGTGTTTTGTGTTCTTGTTGAAAAACACAGCCTTGGTGGGATCTACAATGCCCTTAGACACTGCTCGCACGAGATTCAGATCGTAATCACCGCGATCACCTTTGATGCCAACCGGCTTCACAAGAAGATCGTGCAAGGTCTGGTCGATAATTGCGGTTGCCTTCTTGTCCGTTATGAGGTAGCTTTCCTGAGTCGCAAGGTCAACGACACGTTCAGCGTTTGGAATAATGGCACCGGCTTCGCAAGCCTCGTTGAAACTCATGGTTTGACCAGTGCGAGTGTTTTGTATGCCTCTGACGTCAAAGATGCTGTGGCGTACTCGTTTGGTAAGAAGTCCTTCCCTGACAGCTTCGGGAATGGTGAACTCCTTTTGCTGTTTTTCGAGAATGATCTTTCCATCGGCACCAAGTATACCCCTTTCCATCGCCTCCGCTATGGATATAACGTCCTTCTCGTCAGGATCAACGATGTGTCGAACTTCAGCGTCCAAGACACCAGCAGCAATGGCTTCAAGGAGAGTATGCCTATGCTTCGTTCCTCGATCGATGAAGTGATTAGTAGAATCGATTAGATCCTTCTCCAACATCTCCGTCAATGTCGCTGGTTTAGAAATCAAACCCTCGTTGTAGGCCTCACGAAGGGACAATGTACGTCGGGTCTGAAGATCGGTAAAGTTACCATTGCGAGTGTTGATAGCATTTCTCAGCATGGCGTCCTTTAGATCCAACCTGGTATTTTCGGCGGTGTTCACAACCTCAGGCACGTATAAATTGAGAAGGCCTAGCTGCTTCGAACAAGCCTCTCTGAGGGTGAAAGTGTCCTTACTGTTCTTGTCATCAAATTCACCATTGTTGGCGTTGATGAAACCTTCCTTAATGGCGTCACTGAGGGTGATAGCTATCATTGGGAACTGCTGGGATGAGACTAGTTGTAGATAGCCGTGGTAGAGAGCATCTTTGATGGGCATTGACTCATGCGAGTATTTGCCAATAAAATGACCAGAGACGGTGTTCAGAACACCTTGGTCAATAGCACTATGCAGAGCCATAGGTGGAAGCTTCAAAATACCCATTTTCACCAATCTTCTTTGAGTGTCCATGGTGAGGATGCCTCTCGAGACCCAATCGTAGAGTTCAAGCATTTCGCCAGTGTGGATGTCGTACAGATGTCTGGTCTCAGGGTCGTACAGACCAATCTGGATGGCTTCGAGAAGTGTCAACTCTTCACGAGTCTCGGGATGGCGGATGCCGTAACGAGTATTGAGAACGTCATTGAAAGCACCATCGATATAGCCAAGTTCAACAGCCTTTTCGAGACTGATGCGGCCCGAGTGGATGTCGAAGAACTGTCCTCCGCCTGCGCTAAGGTCAAGGAGACCCTGGCGGACGGCTTCTACGAAAGTCAGAATTTCTCCTGTCTGCTTGTGCAGAGTACCCTCCATTTCGTAGAACTGCGTTTTAGTCACCGTTTCTTCCTGATACATTTGCATTTCGTCCTCATGCTCAGTAATTTTCGCTACGTCCGGTAGATCACCCATAACCTCCCATTCGTCAGGATTTTCTTGACCGACCACCTCATGCATCTGGTTACCTTGCACAATGTTCAGAGGAGGCATCTGGAAACAATAAATCTAAGAATTCTACTAACACATGGAGAGCCTAATTGAGGAAAAGTTGAGTGTTAATTAGTGTTGATTAGGTCACTCAGAAAAATCACTCAAAAGCTCACTCGAAGCGTAAATGGACTATTTGGCACATACCTTTTTCTTTTCTTGTTCCTTGCGCCGCCTCTCTTCCTCCTCACGACGCCGTCTTTCTTCTTCTTCGCGACGCCGTCTATCTTCGTCTTCACGACGTCGTTTGTCTTCATCTTCACGACGTCGTCTCTCTTCATCTTCACGACGTCGCCTTTCTCGCTCTTCATCCTCACGTCGCTGTCGCTCTCTGTCCTCATCCTCGCGCCGTTTCCTTTCTCTTTCAGCCTCTTCTCGTTTCCGTCTTTCCTCCTCTTCCCGACGACGGCGGTCCTCGTCATCTCGTCGTTTCTGGTCCTCTCTTCGCTTGCGTTCCTCTTCTTCGCGACGTCGCCTCTCAGCCTCTTCGGCTGCCTTCCTGGCTCTTTCCGCTT